ATATTTTCTCCTATTATTTCCATTTTTTCTAGTCTAGAAATTAAATTTTCTATTTCTTGTTCTGTTATCAACATATCACAAATTTTCTCACTATCAATTAACTCTATAGTTCCAAAGTCTATGTTTTCTAATTCATCTTCTTTTATATTTTCTTCTAAATTATCTTCTTCTATTAATTGACATTCTCTTTCTTTTTCACACTTACAGTTATTACTACTACTTCCACCACGCTTCTCTATGCACTCTGATGGGAAATAAGTGGTTTGTGTTGGTGTAAATAGGGTATGTTTTTGTAAATGTAAGAAATCTTTAGTAATTGTAACACTTCCATTGTCTTTTAATAAAAAACTTAATCCTATAATAAAATCTGTATCTTTAATATTTAAGGGTCTAACCCAGACTGATTCTTTTGGTAAGGTATATTCTATACTTCTACCACAATTTGTCTCAAAACTAATCTTACTATTTGATTGTAATAATTCTTTATAAGTATAAAGTTCTCCATCCATTTGTTGTGCTTCTATTGGTTTATCTAAGTATATTATATATTGTTCTGGTATTAGTTTTTTATTAATTATACAATTACTACATTCTGAGTCTATTAATCCTAAACATTTTATTTCATATTGTCCTATTCTTATATAACATTTTACCTTAATACTTTTAAGTTTTTCTGGATTACATATTACTTGAACATATTCTTTTTCTTTATATTCTAAACCTTGACTATGTTCTTCTATTTCTATTGATTTTCCTTTATTATTATATTCTAACATTTCTATCTTATTTATTATAAATTTCTGCATTTCTTCTAAACTTTCAATTCTCTTCCTAAGAATTTTTATTTCTGATATTTCAATTTTTTCTTTTAAAATTTCTGAATTAACTTCTTCTTTTTCAATAAGACTTTTTTCTTCTAAGAATTTTATACATGCTTCTTTATAACATTCTAAACATTTAGCTCTAAGCTTTCTTACTGGATACCAGTTACATAAATAACAAGCTATATTATCTGCTCCTTTATATTTTTTGCCAATTATGTAAGCATTCTATAGTTATACTATTCATTAAATTTAATTCTTCTTCTGATTCTGATTCTTCTTGTAATTTTATATTAGAAAATTCATCTATTATTTCATAATCATATTCTTTATTACCTTCTAAATCTATGTCTTCTATTGATATAATACTATAAATAGATTCTTTGTCTGAAATATATTCATCTAATTGTATTAAATCTTCATTAGTACATTCTATTAGTGTACTCTTTTTATCATAATTATTTATTCTTTTTGGACAAGTTTTGGATAAATGTTCATTACTATTACAAACATAACAACTAAGCCTATTTTTATAAGTTCTTTCTGGTTTAAATTTCCTTACATGTCTTTTTTCATCTAAATATGATTTTCTTTTATTAGATTTCCTAAGAAAATATCTTTTCTTAAAAGGTCTTTTATTCTTTCTTTCTTTATTATTATACTTATTTTTTCTTGAGCTAGAGGCTCCATAAGTTTATGGAGTAAAAATATCTTTACAAAATTTATAGTCTGTTTTCTTAAGTTGTTTTTGAATTTGTAATTCTACACATTTATCTTTTAAACATCTTATTACATGTTGTATTCTTTGTCCTATACTCCATTGTTTTTCTGGTTCTTCTTTAACTGATGGCAGATTATTCCATTTATCTGTAATTTCTAATCCTAATGGTCCTGGTAATTTATGAAACAATTTATTTCCTATTTCTTGATTAAATGTATTTCCTGATATTGAAGTTAAATAATGATATTCGTTTAAAAAGTTCTTAACATATCTTCCTTTAGTCCATTTGTAAAGACTAAGTTGTTCTAAATCTCTCATAGCTTTTCTTTGTATACTCATGTGTCCTGAATTAGGGTCTGCTCCAGTTATTAATATCTGTATTTTATTAACAAAATTATAAGGATTACTTCCCATACTAACTAATTGTTCAAATTCTTGTTTCTTTTCTAATTTAAAAGCTTCCCACATAACTTTTACACTTTCTCCTAAAAATGTTTCTAAATATCTATACATATCTAAAACTTCCATTTCTTGAAAATTTCTAATATAATGTCCTATTATAGTATTCTTCCATACATCTATAACATTATTCCATGTCTGTGGACCAGTGTCTTCAGCCACTTTTATAAGAACTCTAATTCATACATGCATGTAGGAGTCAAATCAGCCACCAATTGATACCATTAATAGTTAAATTATTCTTCAAGTTCTCCGTTTTCCAAAATAATTCAATTCAATCCTTGAATTTTTTTTTTATTCTTGCAACCCATGTTTTCTTTGATTCAATTCAAGTCCTTCACCTTCCAAAATATTCAGTTCGACCTCCAAACATTTCAATCTTCGATTCATGGTCCGGATTAACTATTGAATTGTTACAACTTGGTCCCCAACTTTTGGATTTCGCTCTTTTTTCGCTTCATTCCTTCAATTTCTTTTCCTTCATAAAATCTCACCTATTAAACATAAAAGACAAAATTTTAGAATATAATTTATCAAAAAAATCATCAAATATCACTATTTAAGGTACCAAATAAGTGCATAAAATACACTTATCAGTATATTAATAAAAACATACAACTCAAGCGCCTATATATCATTGATAGCTTCAGCTTCTGATTTTTATATTTACAAATACGGTTGCTTATTATTGTTTTCTCTTTCCATTGACAAGATGTTAATATTCTTAGAGTTCTTGTTATTCTATCTGCCTACTCTAATCACATCATTTATAATATTAGTTTTTGACCTTTTGCAAAAGGTGTTGATAGTGGTGGGGAATGATTCCATGACGGCAAAGGCAATTGTTTTCATTTTATGGGTCGAGAAGTATTGGGGAATGTTTTCTTTTCCTATTGATAAGATACTAAAGATCGTGTTAATTTATATTCCTACTTTTAGAACGATATCTTTCATATTACTTTTTCCACATTTTTCCCAAAGAAGTTGATAGCAGTGAGGAATGCTATGATAATTGCAGTGCTTAATGTTTTCACCCTATGGATTGGAAAGTAGTCAAGAATATATTCGGATCCTATCGATAGGATGTTAATGTTTTTGTTATTTTCTTTGCCTACTTTGTCGTGTTGTTTTGTTCATTAATTTTTCGCGCTTTGCGAACATTCTGATGATAGTATGATAGCGTGAGTATTAGAGGATTGATTTTTGGGTACGTACGTCATGTAATTATTTCACTATTTTTCCTTACAATTTGTACGTCATGTAATTATTTCACTATTTTTCACGTAATATATTGTGATTTTTTTAATATTTATTTATTTATTTATTATTATTATTATATAGGTTTGGTGGCTTCGATATAACCTTTTTCTGAAGAAAGGCTTTCTACTGGAAGAATGTGAAGGACGACAAGTCAACCATCTAGTATTGCAAAACTGATAGCAAATTGCTTTTATTTTTCTTTTATTTTTATTTTTCAGTGTAGCAAAACAAATTTTTAACAAAGAATTATTTTTCTCCGAATATAAATGATTTTTGCTTGATAAATCCTAAGTTGGATTGAATGAGCTGCTTTATCATACCTTGACGATGTTTCAAATTGTGAGGTTAAATGGCATAACAAAGTTTTGCTACTGTTCACATATTTGATTGTGATTTGCTTAACACGTATAGTTAATTAAAAGTACTCCCAAACAAACTGTTAATTGACTATGATTGGCAATAAATTCGTTGAATATAAAATTTCATAGACATAATTAAGACAATTAACAATAAAACTAACGATATTTTTTTTATATAATTAAAAAGAATTTATTTCTTTATTTTTGTAAATTTAATGACGGAGTCAGGTTCGTTGAGAGAAATAGAATCCTTATTTTCTCATAATACAGCTTAAAGTTTTTAGCAAAAACATCAATTAGGCAGCTAAAGTAAATTGAGCGAAACCTATTATGGAAGTGAGCTTAATAATTGATTACCAATTTGCAAATTATATAAAAATAAATTATTCTCATTTTTTAAAATATAAAATTTTAACTTTTGGGGGAATAAAAATTAACTTTGAGTATAAATTTTGACATGCAGGTCGTTAATTTTTCTCTTTGGGGTTGAGGCCATGTTAAAGAATCAATCCTTCAATTTATTTTTATGCTTTAAATTGCTTTTTATTTAGATCTTTTATTAATTTGACTCGATTTATAAGTGTATTGGTGAGCATTCAAATTAAAACTATATTGTTCGGATGCAACCACATACCTAACCAATTAAGAAAATTTCGTGTACAGATCTCGATTATGGGATTTCTGTGCCCTTTAGAAATCCTAAGGCTAGCAAAGGATAGAAAAATCATCGCCTAAAGGGTTTCTTGAAAACTGGTCACCATTGGCTTAGTAGAGAGGCCAAATCACGTATTATAATTTCCATATTTTGAGTTATAGAGAAACCACAGCTAATAGTTAAAAAAAACATGTTTTGGTTTATTATGTAAAATAGAAATATAAAAGAGCAATTAACATCGTTACATCACTAAGAGCACGCTTTCGACTTGAACAGTAATTATGCTAGCTACTTCCCTCCAACCAAATAGTTTGAAATAAACTATAGAAATGGATTAAAATTTACAAAGTCCAACCTAATGCTGACTCTGCAATGTAATAAATAATACAACCCTGATATACGTACGCATACCGATCATAATTTTTTTACCTTAGCAATCCTGTCCAATCAGTGCAAAGTGAATTAGTCCCACCTAGCTGATCCACGTTCCTATCAGAAGACTCAACTCGTATGAAAATAATTGTGTAACATAATAAAGTCGAAGTTATAAATCATGATTATTTATAAATAATAGTAAGGGGGAGAGAGGAAGTTGAAATCACAAGAAACAAAAAGAACATCCTTGGCTTGTATTATTTTGGGAATAAGAATAGCTAGATGCCTTCCATTGGTTGTCGTATTTGTGTGTGTTCAAAGCCGAGTCTCTATATAACCACTTGAAATTATATTATCACCTTAAAGCTTCCTGCGTTGACATTTGAGCTAAATTAAAGTTTAGCTCTTCGGTTGCAGAAAAATGGTAAGCTCTTCGAAAAGTAAGCCTCTAAATTGATTTAGAATAAGAATGATTTGAGCATTATTGTTTAGTTCATGGGTTTTTTTTGTCTAAATTCTTGAAAATCTTATACGTAAGTTGTCTCTTTCAGTAGTGCGAAGTTTCAAAGATTCTTGCTTATTGGAAAAACGTCCGGTTGTTATTCTCAGGGTATTTTTCGAAATGATTGTTGGAAGATTTTGTGAATAATGACGCCGAAATAAGTATAATGATGGTGACAAAGCCGAGGCAAGAGTTGGACTCTTTGTCCTTAAGTCGAATTTGCCCCGCAACTGTCTAAATTCTTGAAAATCTTATACGTAAGTTGTCTCTTTCAGTAGTGCGAAGTTTCAAAGATTCTTGCTTATTGGAAAAACGTCCGGTTGTTATTCTCAGGGTATTTTTCGAAATGATGAAACTCAGCAACCAAAGCTGGGAGGAAGGAGAGCTACTACATTCGTATTTGGTAACTTACTTCTCGATAACATCAAGATTTTGCCGCCTAACAAGTCCTATTTGGGTTGACTCTCATCAATCATTTCTTGGATGGAATGACAGAAATTGTTTCATGCAGCGGAACCCAAAATTATTAGAAACAATGCTTAGTTCGTGTTTCTTTTTTTTCTTTTTTTTTTTTCTTGAGGATAATAAATTCGAGAATTTTCAATTATGCAGCTATGGCAGGACTGGAGACCTTGGCATTTATTTCAAATGGTGTGAGCTTAGTGACTTACTTTTTATGGTTACATGAACCTCAGCTTGACAAAATCAGCCACTGCACTGAAAAATTTCATGGGTTCTGCGTTTCTATTATCATTATCCGGAGGATTTATTTCGGATACATACATTTCGAGATTCAAGACGTGCATTGTTTTTAGATGCATAAAAGTAGTAGTAGGTAAAAACTCTTTATTATGTTCTGATTCATGCATGAATTTACTGTTATTTGATTCTCATCATCTTCAAAATGTTGTGTTAACAAGGAATCGGACTTTTCCTGCTTGATTCCAATCTGACTTTTTCCATGTAAATTAAATTTACGTAGTTAACTGGCAGTTTATACTAACCTCAGATCTATCAATTAATAAAAGTTTCTGAAACATTTGGATGATATTATTCATGTTATATTGGCTAATTATTAGTTAAATGATTAAGTGAAATAATAATAGCTCATTGATTTTGCAAAACCAAGATAGTGCACCAGCAATATAGTTGACCATGATACCAATTTATTAAAAAAATAATTTGCATGCATATATTTAATTATTGTTAAATGATGCTCGACATTTTTTAAGGCTCATTGATGCAGTCCATTTTTTTGGCCCTTTTAAATGGAATGTGACCCAGTTTTGGTACATTGTGCACAATCCCGCATTACTTTAAACCCGACTTTGACAAACTGTTGAGATGGTGTCACCTGTTGCAGGCAAAACCGTTGGATGCAAATGACCATTTATATCCCTTGACTTCTCTCATTTGTGCCGTGTGTTCGAGAGATTTCTAGGGCTTTCACCCGTCTTGTTCTCTGTTCATTCTCTCTCTGAAAACTCTTGGTTTTCATCTGTAATCTTTTTTGTTTTAAATGTTCTTGGTGAAATCTAGTATAGATTGTGGTATTCTTGTGATGATTATGTTCTCTGATTGAGCAGTTGGTTAGGTTACTCTGATGTAATCGATTTGTGAGAGAATAAGAGAGTTTTAGAGTCTGAGGGTTAGATCTTTTGATCATTTGTACCGTAATCCTTAAACACTTGATATTATTGTTGGGTTCTAGTGGATTACAGCGATAATCACCTAAGGTAGATGCTCAACGTGGTAACTAGTCCTTTGTGGGTGAACATTCGGGTCTACGGGAAAAAAATCTTGGTGTTCTTTCAATTTTTTGTTGTTGCTTTGTTGGTTTTTGGGACTATAAAATACTTACAGTGGTATTAGAGCTCCCCGATCTATGCTTATAACCTTCGATCTTGTCCTATGTGGTGTTCTTAATGGTCAGAACTCTCGATCTTCACAGATCCATATTTTTGAAGGATTCTTGATCTTCGTTCCTGTGGAGAAAGCAAAATAGTCTGGTATTCACTATTTTACATTGTCTGCTTGAGACGAGTTTTTAACCCTAAAATTAATCTTTCGATTCCTGTGATATTTTTTACCGTCTTCTTGGTTGAAACCCACGTGGATCTTCCTTTGTCTAGGGTTTCATACAAGAACCTTAGAATTTGAGGGGACTGGGTTTAACGGTTTCTTCAAGATTATTTGTAAAACCTATTTTGAAAGTATATATTCTGTGGTACCTTGATTACTTATGTACCTACTCTTTTTGTTATGTATCTTGTGCATCTGTGTGAAAGTTATTTACACACTAACACTTTGTGTGTGTACATTTTTTGTGTATAAATTTTTTCTTAACACTATATACTTCAACTTTGCATTGTTTTTAAAAAATAGTAAAGTTTTTCAAAATTATAGCAAGCACTAAGATTGATGTTGAAATTTAGAACGGCAAAGGAGAATTTAGTCTCTGAAGTCAAAAGATGATAGCTCTTTTAATGCAACAAATATGTGTGAAAGCTATAGATAAATCATAGGGTACAGAAGTTATAGAAAATAGGAGGACTGAATAAGATGAAATTGCATGGAGCACAATTTTCTTGCATTTACCTGATAGTGTGATTAGAGAGATAGGAAAAACAAAGATTGAAGTAGAAATTTGGACAAAACTTGATTCTCTTTATCAAACTAAAACCCTTCCCAATAAAAGTTACTTGTGGAAACAATTCTTCAGTTTTAAATTTAACCCACATATTGATCTTGAGATGAATCTTGTAAGATTTAATAAACTATCTTAAGATATCACCAATAGTGGTGAGACTCTTTCTGATAATCAAAAATCAATGGCCTTACTGTCATCTTTTCCTGATAAATATAAAAAAGTAAAACATGCCCTTGATATGGTAGAACGTCTATAACTATTGATGTTATCACTACTTCTTTAAGGAATAAGGAACTAGAATTCAAAAGTGAATATAAAACCTCCATAATTGGAGTAGGATACAATGCTTAGGTAACTCTTCCTTCAAGAAGAATTCCAATCGAAACATGAATAAAAATTCTGGAAAACCAAAAGATTTTTCTAGAACTTTTCAAAAGGGCAAATCAAAATTCAATAAGAATAATAACAAGGCCAATGGTAGAAAATGCTACTTTTGTAGTAAAGTGGGTCATTATATCAAAGATTGTATAAAAAGAATTGAAAACTTGAAAAATACTAACAAGGTTGAAGGTGGAGCTGCTATAACTTATGAAGAAGCTGCAGCCTTTAATGGACAAGTCCATGTGACCTATCAATCTTCAGTCAAAGATGACTGGATTCTTGATTCTGGGTGTACTTTCTGTTGTGTGTTGTCACACCTGGCCAACCTACCTGGACGATGGCCCACTCATGGCAATCCACGTGGCATTCTTGCCGAGGTGGCACACAAGTCCGAGGTGGGCTACATCCAAACTGCTTCGAGCCGAAGTCCATCTGTCGAGACTCCTTTTTGTCCGAGGCCTACTAACCGAAGCCAGGCTGTAGGACCTGTTGAGAGCAGCTGAGGCCCTCAAATGGCCAAAGCCCCGAAGCTGATGCGCGAGCCTCTGAACCACAAAGAAACATCCTTCATGGTCACTTCTCCTAAGAGATCGCCTGCACAGATCTTATTCGAATGATTGATGGAACGTTTGTCATAAGAATAAAGGTTAAGTCTTGTCACTAGCATGGAGGCCCTACATAAGCAATAAATGCGCCGTAAGCTAACAAGTCATGCCCCATACCTAGGAAAAGATGTTTGAACTAAAGAGATGAGGCCACGTGCCACTTCATCCAAGGGCTCCCATTTCATATGTACTACTATAAATACTTCCTTGTGTAATATCAAAAGGCTAATGCAAGAATCAATACAAAGAACTACATTTACTCAACTCTCTCTCAGTTCAATTGCAATACACAAATCAAGTTTATACACATTTACCTATACATTTACGAACACCGGTTGGTAATTATTGTACAATCGGATTACGAACAACCCGTCGGATTCCAAACGTCACCGTCTCGCGTCGTTGGGCTACTCCCACGCCCTTTGAACCGCTCGTTTTAGACCGTCCACGTATCTTAGCATGTTGGACATTCGCCCACGCAAGCGCGGGTGGGACCGGCATATGTTGGCGCACTTTTTGGGGTCAACAGATTAGCGCCGTCTGTGGGAAACCATACCATAACCACGAGCGACCTTGTGGTAAAAGCTTACTGAAAAACATTTGGGCAACCCCCCTTGAAAAAAGATTTGTTCTCGAAAAAGAACAGGAGGAACCCCTATCACCTGGACAAATCTGAGTTTGATAAAAGAAATATGAGTTCTAACGAAGATACCCCCCCAGGAGGGTAAGAGAAAGCACGAATGTGCCTCCCCAGCCTGCTGTCCCAGCAGCTCGGCCGAGGGTCCACCACCACCAAAGGAGAGGTGGAATGCGTGCGACAACACGACTGTCAAGAGAAATGGCTACCATGGCAGCCAACATAAGGGATATTGCCAACCAAAACTTAGCCATGAGGGAGCTCATGGCCCAAATGCAAGGCTAGGGAGGCTTCCCCATTCCTCCATACGCCTCCCATGGGCACTATCAGCAAGAGGATGAGATTCAGAGTCATAGGGCTGCCTCACCAGACTATGGCCGAGGTGGAAGCCCGTTCGAGAGGAAAGTGGGAGTCGACATTTCCTCCAACTATGCTTCTAGCCGACCCACCGAGGCCCAAATGAGCCACGATGATTTTCCACCTCCATATGAGCAAGATCCAAGATATAGGAGAGCTGGCAGTGTTTTTGACAGAATCAGCCCCATTGAACCGAGGCTCAGTCAACAGCAGGCTCAGCAGCCTCGGACGAGGCCACAGCCTCTACCTCCAATACCCCAGCAGCCGGAGAGAAGGCATGAAAATGCCCCCCGCGCTGTCCTGCAAAGGAGGGAGGAAGAGGTTAGGAACCGGCCTGGACCCTCTCACCAACAACCAAGGTACGAGGCTGATGACTACGATTCTGATGAGCAGCAGAGATCCTGTGACTTGGATGATGATGATGAGAACCTGCCATTCTCAAGAGAACTAAGGAATGCCCAGGTGCCGAGCCACTACGTCATGCCAAAAATACCAAAGTATGACGGGAGAGGCGACCCGGAGAAGCACCTCAACGCTTACAAAACTCACATGAGCCTGAGGGGTGCCACTCCAGACGTGAAGTGCAGGGCTTTCCACTTAACCCTCAGTGGAGCGGCTGAAATCTGGTATAGCAGGTTGCCACCTGGAAGCATCCGAAGCTGGCCCGAGTTCAAGACAACATTCTTGAAGCGATTTGCAGTGAGCAAGGAAGGAGAGACCCCCATCCAGCGTCTCCAAGACATGAGATAGGCACATGAAGAGTCCCTAAAGAGCTTCCTATCATGCTTCACCAACGAGATAACTTACTGCGTGCAATTCACCGACAGAGAAACACTATCTGCATTGAGGAGAGGCCTGAACATGAACACCCTATTCTGGAGGGATGTGCAGAATCAAGACCCCACCACCTATGACGACATACTAGAGATGATGAGAAGGGAGATAATCAATGAGGAACTGATTGAGCATAGGAACATGGCAAACAGAGGCCTCCCACCTCAAAGGCAACAAGGTAGGGGTCCGACCTCCCACCTCATGGACTACCAGATGAACCAGACCGAAAATGAGAACTCTGGACAAGCACTGGCCACCACAACTCTGAACGTGGTTCCTACCTTGGCATATGAGGATGTCAACCCAATTGTTGACCCACATCAGATGGAGGCCCAGCGGGGACCCCGCAGAGGGAGAGGCCGAGGCCGAGGCTTTGCACCTAGAAATAGGTCCAATCCGAACCTCCCAGGATACTGTTTGCACCACAGGTCCTACGGGCATGACACCACGGATTGCAGAGACTATGCACACCGCTCCCGGCAGGAACCCGCCAGAGACAGACATGATTCACCCCAAGCGAACAGGCTCCCGCCCAGGCACGACAATCGACGTGGGCGTGAGGAGGCCGCTCCCCGTCAAAGGGATGAATCCCCACGACGAAGGGAGCATGATGCAGAGAGGCCCAGGAAGGGCATAGGCACCGAAGAAATCGACACGCTCAAGATGAGGCCCCTATCCACGAGGTGGATACCATATTTCGAGGCCCTTATGTTGGTAGCGAAACACGAAACGCCAAAAGAAATTATGCTCGGGAGGCTAAACACCCCCATTTGACGAGTTACATTGTGGATAATAGCTCCCGAAAAAATCAAGTACCACCCATTGTCTTCACCCAGGAAGACGCCGAAGGAGTTCATTACCCCCATTGCGATGCGCTTATGGTGAGGGCTGTCATAGCCCGGAATGGGCTCAAACGAATGCTAGTCGACAACGACAGCTCCGTCAACATCCTGTTTGGGTCCGCCTTTGACAAAATGTTATCGGACTATCAGTTGACACCCACCACCACTCCATTGTACGGATTTACCGGAGATAGAATCACTCCGGGGGGAAAGATAACGCTGGCAATGGAAATGGGAGAGTCTCCTCAAACTACGATGAACTTCATGGAATTCCTCATATTTGACAGCCGGTCGGCTTACCACGGAGTCTTGGGCAAACCAGCCCTAAAGGAATTGGAAGCAGTCA